ATGTCTTATTCAAAAGTTTTGTCGAAATATTTATTTGACACCAAATTTATTATGATTTACAGAAAACACAATATAATCAGTAATTAAGAGATATAATCGCTATTCAACTACAAAACACTGCTTGAAATGAATTATGTTTTTGTCAGAGAAATGGTTTTAATTTGATTTCTCAACTGTTTTGTCAAAAACTGTTTTTGAACTCAATATTCAATAATAATGATTAGAAATCAGTTATTTAATCGTTAGTAATACTAATTAAAGTACAGTATAAATACCAATAATTACAATAACATTATTATGAATTAAACATTTAATCTCATTATATTTCTTATTGTTGGACTAATAGCATAACCAAGGTACATAATTGAGTTAATGAGAGTTACTCTTTTAGTTACTTTTAAGTTTTAATTATGGAAATGTATTACAACAAAAATTAAAATTAAATTAAAATTAAACCTGATGGTTTTAATGACGAAAACCTATATCACTGAATAGTGCCCACAATCCTAGGACATCACAACATCTTTTAAACCCCAATAGTGGCCAATATTGTCATACTTTCTCTATGAATGTTTGGATACAAGTTTTCAACCTTTTTCCAGTCGGATCTACTAGTCTCTGGACCAAAACCTATACAATCAATTAATTCCAGTCACTTTGCAAATAGACTATCATTTATACAGAATATACAGAATATCTTTACATTAATTCCTTAGAAATTGATTGAAATATTTTATAAATATATGAATCCATTGAATAATACTTTGCAAGAATTTAAATATTAATATTCAACACGGATTCCAAGTGTCAAGTTCAAGGACTATAAATTTATATTAATTTTATACTATTTTTATAGTACAGGGTAGAAAATTTGTTTTTGTTATACCTTTCACTGTATCCAAAGTGTTCATTGGTTTATAAATAGAAATTCTCGTAAAATTATATATTCTGTTCATATGATTGTGAATTACATTCGCTTATCACATGTACACAAAAATTATTACCGTACATCAATCGATGTTTGAGTATTTGCTATAAAATTGTACTGTATAACTTTTAAAATACATTAAAAGCTTCTTAACAAATGTTTTGAAAATACTTTATAAGAATTAAATTAATACTTAAGTGCAATATAATAGTTAATACTTTTTAAAAAAAAGTTTACTAACATTTGTATTACAAGAATGTTAGAAAAAGCAATTTATAATTATATTTTAGTGTATATTAATAATTTGCCACAATATTGTGTAAACTAATCAATATCAATTTTTAATCATTAGGCAAATCAAGTAATTAATTTATAAAATAAATTTTAGTCATTTAAAATTGATTCAAATTTGTGGGAATGGGAGCTTTTTGTTACTAACCAATACCTTATTTATCTGATTCTGTAATGCTTTTATTTTTGATTTTATTATTTTGTAAAGTATTAAACTTATTTAAAATTACAAAATATGTTTTTATAGATTACAAACAGCAAATGGAAAAATATTTTCCTCAACTATAAATCCACAAATAAAATCAACACTTTATAGTTTGAAGTTTAAACTAAAGTTTTGAGAAAAATAGCCATAAGTCTATTAAGATTGCAAAGCTATTGCAAAAACATTTCTACAAATTGTACTTAAATTCCGAGAACTGTATGCAAAATAACTTAAAAAATAAAAGTTTTGAAAAATAAGTTTTAGTTTGAAAAGCAAAGTAAACACAAAAATAAAAGCAAAACTACATTAAAAATTACACATGAATGCATTAAACTATAATTAAATCATAAAAACCATTATATCATACATACAAAAAACATAACATGTAATCAGTCGACACCCTTTGACACTAATGGTTAGCCTACACACACCTTGGCATAGGTACGGGCGAACTATGGCGAGAGCACCTGTAGCTCATCAATCCCAATGTCATACCTGACGCACAGATTGCAATACAGGTGCTCAACAAGTTGGGCACTGGAGCTACAGTTCCGCATCACCTTCAGAGGTCCCCTTTACATACCCTTAACGCCTACCTAACATCCAGTGCCCAAACCCTTTGAGGTTCAGTGCATAGAAAAGTGGGTAAAAGTGACTTTCGTATGAAAATAATGTATGAAATTATAATTATACTTATCTCTGAACTATAAACTTATCATTAAATTGTCTCTTCAAATGCCATCACATGACTGTATACTCTATTCATGTGTTCAGGTGTTATAGCTATGAGTAAAGCGTTTGGTATTTCTATAAGGGTTTGAAATGCAATCTTTGAATTTATTATAACTTTTTTTGTGCATCTGATAAGAGATGGAAAGCAATTATTTTATCTCTTTTCTTAGTTTTGTTATAAGTTATTATCAAATAATCATCTCTTATTAGCCGATGAGAGAGAGAGAGAGAGAGAGAGAGAGAACAGATTTTAAAAATAATTATTGTATAGGAGTTTCATTCTGTCACTCAAATGATTAATTTTTGAGGAATTTTCTTGTTTTTAATACAACTCCGAAATTAATTTAAATAATAAAATCATTAGAAACTTGAATCCTAGAAATTGTTTTTCGCATTGCATTACTTATAAAATAAAATCGCCTAGTTTTTGCAGAATTTATAATTTTTATAATTATAGTATAATTGTAAAGTTATGATTAATATTTGATAAAGATGAAAGTTTACACAAAAAACAATTTCTCTACACATTGAAAACAACATTATTTAAATGAAGTGTCGATTTTAAATGGTTTGCAGATAATTAAGTATAATTAATAAATATTTTATATCTATTTATAGCAGGAATAATTTGTATTAATTATGAGATTTGTTATAAACATTTGTTGTATGAATATTTCAAAGAATTTATTATTGTCGACCAAATATAGAATAAAACTTAATGTATTAATATTATTGAAAATCAATTGTGTAAGTTAGCAGGTATAATTTATTTTAACATAATGCATTATACTAAATAATATACTACAGTAGTATAAAATATTAACATGCAAAACAATTTCTCGGAACTCTAGTGTACAGTAATATAATGTATATGTAATAAAAGTGTGAATTTTGTATGGCTTTTGTATATTGTTTACTGTTAATAACAGACCCTAGACTAAAATCTATATGTTCATGGTCAAGGTTAAGCTCCGGAATAATTTTCTTCGTATATATCTATAACAGATCCCTGTTCAAATTGGCGAGAAATGGCAAGGTTAAATACAATATATCTGTCTCACTAAATTTTAGCCAACACTCAAATGGTTTATAAATAGCTTTCAGAATCCTTTTAACATCAAAAATGAATTGAAAACTATTTTGACATATTTTGTCAAAAAATGTATGTAGGCAATTGTGAGTGTTTTTAAAATGCAAAGTACTTTCGTACTAAACAAAACTCCCTGAGTACAAACTTTTTAATTGACAATTAATATGCGCAAAGTACTTCAAAGTGCAAACGTAGTGTATTTAATACATGATTGCAAATTTTAAATAATTTGAATAATATTTTTAAAATATATTTATCTGATATTTATAATTTTCTAAAAGGGTGCTATTTATAGCCAAGAAAAAATATATAATTAATTGTTTATTTGTTTGCTCCACTTTTATTTGTTGTCTCATATTTTTTACATTACCTATAATTAACACGATTTTCATTTTACAATTGAAGTTCAATTTGTGTTTATCAAGTGTTTGTCATTAATTTACTTTTTAAAATATTGTTTTACTTTTTATTTTTGCTTAAGAGTTAATCAATTAATTTATGTATAATTAAATTGTTTTTTAAGATTCTGTATAGCCTTGAGATTCACGTTTTTAGTCAATGATATGTTTTATGAAAGTTTATAGAGTTTGCAAATCGTTGACAACAATTATAGTATAGACTTTAATTGACTGTAAAGTGATTTTAATTATGGTATAGGTTTTGTGCAAAATTAATAGACAATTTTAATAATGTACTATTGTTTGCATTGTACCTTGCATATACAGTACTGTACTTTTTGAAATTATAGCTTTTATAATTCAAGTAATAAGTATTATCAACATTATAATAACTCAAATATTTAATATTATAATATAATGTGATTGTAATTAGAATACTAATCCAGTTAAAATTACTAGCAAAAATACTTAAAACAATTATTTATTTAGCTAAAATATTCAATAATTTAAAATTACACAATATTTGTATTAATTTTCTAGACAAATAAATAATGAATAATAAAATACAATTAATTTTAAATTACAAATACATATTTTATTTTGCGATAATTACTTGTCCTAAAGGTAACTTAATAATAATGAGTTTATTAAACGCATTGCACGCTATACTGGCAATGAATGCAATCGCATACCGATGCCCACAATACCTGAATTTATTTTTATTTGACATTAATATAGTTTTCTACAAATTAATCGAAATACAGACACTTTCTTTAATAACCCTTTAATTTAATGATTATTAAACAGACAAAAACAATTGTAATTATATATTTATTATTAAAATGAAAAATAAATGTTTTGTTACAAATTTCACACCATATATGTAATAAATAAAAATAAAATTACTTCAAATATAAGGTGTATGGGCTTAACGTTTATGTGTGTGTATAGGCAAATTAATTAAATTAACTTTTAAAATTATAATGTACATTTTATAAGTTTTTAATGAATTGATTATAATGTTTATAGTTAACTGTAAATACAATTACAATACATTTTAAATAGTGATTTGACAGAAATGATTTTAAAAATAACTTTTCAACTTATCATTGATTTATATTTAAGTTTGTTTTATTATCTGCACTTTAATTTAAGTGCTTTTAAAACTCGTGTACAGTACTAATTATAAAAATATACTAAACTACCCAACTCATATTTGTATAATAATTAAAACTTATTTTATTTATAGTTTATTTTATTTGCAACTAACATTTAATTTTAAAATAGCATAAAATTTTAACAATTCAAAATATGTATCTACTAAATTAATTAATCATGTATAAAATAATATAATCTAGCATTTTGTTACAATTATTCACTTATTATTAATGCATTCAAAGGGCAAATGTAACTTTAGTACAAAAACACGTCTAACCAAACGTTTTACGTAATAATTGTATTAATTTGCTGCGAAATACCAAAAATAGTATAATATTTAATAAAACATATAAAGTAAGAGTTGGTAAAGATTAACAAAAATATTTTAATGCCAAAATTTTATTGCCAAACATATTGCTTGTGAAAACATACATAAATAATAAGCCGCCAAATGTACCGAAGAATTCACTTAACCCATTATTTCTCAAAACCTATTATATATTATATAATTTTGAAGGTCTTCCCAAAAAGTGACAGATGTTGTCATACCGTTGTACATAAAAGTGGTGGTCGACACAACATGTTGACAGAAAGAGGTATATATTATATATACCTAGTATAATTTACTGTATTACCGGAAAATTCTGGTGTTATTATAGCCATTATAATATATTTATTCAAAGAATTGTATGAAAATTCTTTGCCTAAAAATTTTACTTTTCATTTGAGAGTTATATTATGCGTTAACATAGAGAGAATAGGTTAAATAATAGGCGTAAATGCCTACCGGTGCTCTCAAATGTCAGGAAGTTTTTTTTATGTTTTAGCTATAAAAATATTGAATAATATGAAATCAAAAACAGAGCAAAAATTGTATTATTTTTCCGTAAATGGCAATTAAAATGCTGCAGATTTGCATAGAAATCAATAAATTCAGAGCTTTTATCGTAATATTAATAAACAACACAATTATTTATACATTAATATAATATATAAAAATATACAAAAACACGTATGTGCAGTAATTGTAAACTACCAGTGCTTTACAATATAAGGCATTATTGTATAGATTCTGTGTATGAATTCATTTGTCTGTTGTTTATCTGCATCTGAGATACGAAAGCGAATTGATGTGAAAAAAGGAAATTATAAGTGAAACACAAATAACAAAAAAATTGAAACTTATTTTCATTATTATTATGAAATCCAGGTATGGATTGCCATACGATATGAACGGTTGGCTGTATTCTTGAAAGGGGAACGCCTTCTGCCGCCGCAAACACATAGAGAAGCCGTGAGTTTGTCAGTCAGTGCCGGAGAACTGGATATTACACAGCATTTTGCTATCGATTTTGACGGTATAAATAGGCGTAAAAAAGTTGATTTACATTCACTGGTGAACACACTTTTGGCTACAATTCTGGTATTCAAGCAGTTATTCAATCCGTATATAATAACATACAAAACCAATTTGTTTTACTTATTAAGTGATTGGTTTTTAGGTGTTTATATAAAACCGGTCTTTAATTATCTATTAAGACGTTAGAAAATAATAGTATATTGTTTTCTATTATTCAAATTGTACTTGTTGTTTTGGAAATTTATGTCAATATTGATTTCTTATGCTAATTGAGTGTTTCCGATAGAAAAAACAAAGTATTTTTGTCTCAATCATAACGTTGTGTTTATAAATCATTAAAAGTGCAAAACTATTGTAATTTGACATTTGATTGTCATTAAGACAATCACCCACCAACTTTTCTCAAAGTTTAAAAGTTGCTTTTTAAATGACATTTTGTGGCAAAAGTATTGAATAATTGGGTTCAATATTATTACATATTTTTCGGTAAACGAGACAAAAATTGCTTCAATTGTCACAACGAATTTCATTACGATTTCGACGATTATGTAAGTATTTTCATTGATTAAAATTTTGTTTTTTTGCTAGTTAATTAATATTCAAGTAACATATCATTTGATTCATAAAAATACTGTAATATTCTTTAAAAATAAGTATAATTTCCAATCGATAACTAAAATATAATTTGCATATACTATTAAGTGCCTGGTGCTAAATAGTATTTTTTGTGTATATTGTAATTTAACCGGTATATTGTAGTATGATAATGACTAGTTTGTATGAATTCAAGTATTTATAATAAATACTAAATGCACTTAAAAATTATAAATTCAGTGAATGAGTACTAAATGTACGGTCAGACTGTATGGCGTGAATTGAAGGCAAAACTTATTATTTATATTAATAGTTATATAATCGCATGAATATTAAGTGGTTGTCAATAAATAATAATATATTTGTCGATCAGTTTACGTCAATTGATTTTTTATGTCTACAGATTAGTCGTATTGATTGCGAGTTTTCACTATAAAAGTAAAAATAAAATAAATAAATTTTCCTTTATTTATAATGAATTTGTTTTTTAAGTGCATTATCTATTCAATCATTCAATGAATATTTAAATGTTTCAAAACATTTATTTAAGTTTACAACTTGATAGCATAGTAACAATTTTTGTTGTTGTTTTGTTAATGTATTTAAATTAAAAAATTTTAATTCATATAATTTGTTTTCAAAAAACAAGTGTAAAAATTCCACTACTTTACATAAAATAGTCAAATAAATTTTTATATAAATATTAATATTTATAAGTTTAAATTACTATTTCATATAATTTTATAATAAGTACCTGGCGTTAACTGAATTTTATTTGTAATACTGTTTACTTTAACATTATAGTTTGTATATAAGTAGGTAAGTAACAAAATATATATGATTTATACTATGCTAAACCCGTATTTGACCTGTTTGTGACAATTTCCGATACATACAGTTATGTACCGGTCTATTAATATAATAAATACAGTATTAATTTTGTCCGAAAACACCCACACATTGCAAATCTTAACTAAAGTCGGGTTAACTTCGATGTACATATTAATAATAACTGTTGGGATCGGGTTTTATTTCTAATACTTTTATCTATAGCTAAAAAATCATATTTCAATTACAAGAATGTATTTGATTTTTAATGAAAAGAATTTTCATTTCATTTGATATGTTATTTAATACATTGAAAGCAAGTTTGTTGCTGAAGTTTCAGATTTAACGTATGAAACTATAGGCTATTATTTTAATTAACATGCTTTCAAACATTTTGATATTAGTTTTGATTATGAAACACCTACGTGTTTTTATAAAAATTATTATTTGAAATACTAATTTTTGTATATACTGTAATACACTAATCCAATTATTTTTATGCGGATATATCGATTGATAATAAGTTGATATATTTATGTATTACATTTATTTTTTGTACATTGACTAAAATCTATGAATCAATAACTTTGTGGTAACTTAAGACTCATAGACTTACTAAGAATCGCATGAATCAGTTGCTATCAAATCAATGCCAAACCCTATACTAACTTAATATATACCGAATAACTCATAATTAATGATATGTTTTACCATTATATTTTATTATATAACATTCAATTGATTATAAAAGTCATAGCTAACGTATAAAAACATATTACCGGCAATTGTGTATTACTACAAATCAAATTATTATTTATTAATTCTAATCCCATATCGAGACTTATAAATAAATTTTATATACTATTCATTTCTGGACTTCTGGTATTAAATCTTATTTGTAATGAAATGATTTTTATTTTAATCATACAGTATAACCTAATTTGTAAGCATTTTATTGATTTTCATAATAATGATAATATTGCCATAAATATTAATAATGTTATAAAATAATATTCATTTTGACAAAAACTATTACATTACCATATACATAATATATAGATAATTAAAAAATAAAATTCTGAATATTCCCTAATAATATAGGTGAGTTTATTCATACAATTAATTAAAATAAATACCAAAATCAGCAATATTTTTTGTGATTTATTTTCTGTTCAACAAATCTATTACATAAATATTAAGTGCTATATTTTTTTGTCGATTCAATCAAATTTAATGTTTAAATTATAGACCTGATAAACACTTACATTTAATACATGAATGCTTTTAGTAAAACAAAATCGTTAGTTCAATATAAATAATATAAATCTTATAGCAATTATTTAATAAATTTCATTACAAAAAGATTTTTATTTTATTTTTGTTTCACCATTTCTATACATTAAAGATTATTAAATATTTCACAATATTTTCTAAATTGATTTTTATACTACAGTATAATAATTTTCTATTAAATGAGTTTGGCAACAAAAACAAACATTATAAAACTGCTAAATATTTGATTTAGCATTATGTAAAAATATATCATTATTATACATTTATTACAATAATAATATCTTATATAAGTTTAATACTGAAATAGATTTTAATTTGTATTAAATTGTTTAATAATTAAAAACTAATCCCTTAAAATCATTCATTAAATCATACTTAAAATCATATCTATATTCAAACAATGGTCATTGATTACTATGTGCTAACATTTACATTAAATATCCCTGGCAAAACTTCCATCTTATTGTTCATTAATTTAATTAAATCAACAAATATTTAATTTATTAGCTGACCTTTTATGACATTAAGAACTAATGTATAAGTTATATAATATTAGTAAGTATTACATAATTTATATAATATTACATTTGAATAATCTCGGTTCATATTATAATTGATTATTTTATTTTTAATGTGATTTATGAATGACTCGCTATGTATTAGCCATAAAATAAAATCTTAATACAATTAAAACTAAATAAATAAGATTTTCATTTTCAAAAACTAATAAATCATTTTAATTATGCGTTAATTTGTATAGCATTTCGACAATATTATCGCAAAACAATGACACAAATCCTTACATCAAAAATACTTATTTATTATTTGTATAGTACTAGTAATAGTGTTAAATATAGTAGCAATCAATTAAAATATTTGTTATCAATAAATGATTAATGATAATGGTATTTTGTTTTTACTTTTCATCCAGACAATTTAGTTAAGAATTTTTAATATAAATATTTTTCATGACATTTGCTTCAAATTATTGATCTGAATGCTAGAGAAAAACACATATTTTTATTGCCATTTCGTGATCGACGCTAATATAGACTATCAAACAAAAATATAAATGAATAAATGATTTTCGTTTGTATTGTAATTAATAATAACCATTTCATTGAGAATAATGTTTTCTATAAAAATAAGTAAAATTTAAGTCAATATTTATTTAGATGTAAAAAATACATAAAAATATAGTGTTTATAAAAAGTCATAAATAATACTATAGCACTATTGATTAATAGTGACAACTAACCATTTAATGTCCCACAAAAATAGAGTTAATATATACAAACAATCCAGATGAAACTAGTTCTTAAGTTTTGTAACACATATTTTTGGGCACAGAATATGATTAATGAATTCTTGACCATCACCTCACATCCAATTCCCTATATATCTGGTGGTAACCAGTTTAGGGCAAATTAATTACAATTCTGTCAATATAAGTACCTGTATAAATTTATATTAACAGTTTTTTGAGTCACCAGTGTCTGACAAATAAAGAATATAATAATGTACTTAACATATTATGTTTTTATTGTACCTGTATCATATTTTATGTTTACCAGTATGAGATTAATAGGGATAAAACATTTTTTGATAAAGTCTAAACAAAATTGTAAATAAGTGTTTCCGATATATTATATTGAATGAACAAAAGTAAATACATTATCAAATATAAGTAGGTGTTCCTTTTATCCATAATGTCTTTTAGTAATATCTTTAATAAAAACTTTTATTTTGAATTGTCTGGAACTTTGTCTGGATCATTGTGAGACACACTCGTGTATCAAATAAAATCTCCATTCATCAATTACCGTATGACAAACCATTTATGTGTGTTTTTAGCAATTTGTATCAATTTATTAATTATAAGCCTTTTTGACACATTTTTGTCAATAATAAATATTCCAGAGTATAGAAAATCATAATTTAAACATCTAAATGTAGTGAATGTATTGTATCATTGAAATTCAATACATATTTAAATAAACTTTTTATTAAACATTTTACACAATCAAACAAGATATCAGTTTTACTCATATAAATGTATTTATCTACATGTAGTATAAATATATTTTCAAATATAAGGCACACTCTACAAATATTTACTAATCAGACAAAATAAACTCGACATTAATGTATTTGAATTAAATACCAGAATCACTTTGTACCAAACAGAATATTTGATACTCTATATTAAATTTGATTTGATTACATAAATCAAAGCTTTAGATTTTGTTATAAAAATTACCAATTCTTTCGTAAGCCAAAAACTTAACAAGTAAACAAGTAGAGTGCTTTACAAAATTATTTGCAAATCTATTCAAGTAAAATCATTTATTTATAAACAATTGTGAATGTCATGAAAATTGTATCTCGTATTTTATTTATAATAATTGTGAAAATAACACACTAGAAAAGATATCACCTATATTACATTGTAGTATAGTGTAGGTGTTAAATAGTAATTGATTTGGAAAAATATAATACATATTGAATTGTAGTAATTGTCACAATTCAGGAAACGTGACTCAACTAAAATACACGAAATTCCTGTTAAAACATTTAATAATTTATTAGATAGCTTTATACTGGCAAAGTAATTTACAAAACATCAATCAAATTATTAATTAGCATTATTTTGATCATGTCAAACTAATAGTGTCATTGTTAAGTGTGAATTTTTGATATCTATTTTAAACAGTTGATTTACATGAAAAATACTTTATTATCAATGTGAAATTATGGTAGTTAATTGGTAGAAACTTGCTACTAGAAGTGATATTAAATGTTTTTCTGTGTATTTAGTGACTAAAGTTATTACAATTAGATTAGATATGAGTTTCAATAATTTCATCAATTGATGTCATACTTTGGTTTACATTGATTTTGTACTTTTACTCCCAAAACGCTGAATTTCACCATCGGATTAGGGATATACGTGATCAATAAGTTGTATATAAAATTGTTATACCAAAAGGACTAAGTTTATTGACTGTGAATTCAAGTCAATATTTGGGAATTCCATGAAATCTTATGATAGTCCAGTTTTGCATGCTCAAAAGTCCACTAAAGTATTAAATACTATTTTCTTATGAATTATAAATAAATTACATGGTTAACTCTGATATGAACTTCATATAAATAGGGACTTGAAAATAGTTGTATTGAATATTCTCTAGTTTAGTTTTTCTAAGCGTTTTAAATATTTTACTATTTTTGACATTTTTTGTCAACACATTTGTTATTGTGTTTTTGTTTTAAATGTGACATTTAATTGTAATTAAAATATATCCAAATCATAATATGTCTGTCAAGAATCTATTTTACTATTTATTGATTGAAATAATATTTATGTTTTGAATATGAAATGATTAATAACCACATATTATTTTAGTGTCTGTGCTATTGATTTGTTTAACTAATGTATTAAATATTTTATTATTTAATTTTTAATATTTTCATCATCTCAAGTAATGCTATTATTGATTATTAATTATGAATACAAGTATTAAGTTTTCAAATAACGATCAGATATTGAATTACTCTATCATTAAGTATCGACTATTTTGTCGTAAATATAATATGTATTAAATTAGTATTTTTTGAATATGAAATGATTAATAACCACATATTATTTTAGTGTCTGTGCTATTGATTTGTTTAACTAATGTATTAAATATTTTATTATTTAATTTTTAATATTTTCATCATCTCAAGTAATGCTATTTATTAATATTAGTTATGATAACTGATTTGCCACTCCTATTGATCTAGATCTTTTTAGTAACCTCTTATTTATATTTCAAAAATTTATTAAATTATAAAACAAAAACTCAACAGTAATTGTAAAACCAGACAATAAGTAATTGTATATCAGGAATTAATTAATTCAATAACACTTTGAAATTTTATTCAAACAAACAAAAAGTTTCAATATAATTTGATACTAATTTAATACATATTATATTTACGACAAAATAGTCGATACTTAATGATAGAGTAATTCAATATCTGATCGTTATTTGAAAACTTAATACTTGTATTCATAATTAATAATCAATAATAGCATTGAAAGTAACACTTGTTTTGACAATTATAACTACAGTACTGTTTACTCCACCAGACAATTATTTTACAATTAAATCAAAAATAACTTATTTACTTTACCCGGTTGTTTTCAAACAAAACAAGCAATTAAAAACTATCAAAACTTCTTATAAAAAGCGCAAAAACTTTTCGCAAAAACTTATTTCCCACAAACTCTGCCACCAATTATTCAAACCCTTATATCCATCGCAAATACAAAGACATCACCTAATCGTTGATTATCTTATGCCCGACAGCCGTAGACAATGCCATCGCGTGAGGAGACGATCATCACCGACGAGAAGCGTTGCTCAACGCTGTCATCGCGCGCTTCTTCGGTTGATTCTTCGTATAACATAGAGGAAGACGACGGACACGACCCTCAATACCAGGACTCAATACAGCCGAGCCTTAACTTCTCGCGTCTGGCCTACAATTTGGCGCAATTTAACGAGACATACAAAGTGATGGACAGGAAGTCGGGCTCCGGTGGACAAACCCGGAGGGTTATGGCAGCCGTGCGACCCACTTGTTCACCCGATACCATGAAAAGGACCCTGAAGTCCGTGCTTCCAATCACCGATTGGCTCTATAACTACAACTGGAAGTCCGATTTCATTGCCGATTTGGTGACCGGTATTACTATTGCTGTGTTTCAAGTGCCGCAGAGTAAGTGTCTACATACTAATTAAATAAACTATTCACTAAATACATACCTGTCCCATTTTAGGTATGGGTTATAGCCTATTAGCTCATGTGAGCCCTGTGTACGGCTTGTATTCATCTTTCTTCCCGGCGCTTATCTATTCATTTATGGGTTCATCGAAACACTCAGCAATCGGTATGTCTATCCGGATGTCATATACTGTATATAAGTCTTACTATAAACTGAATGAAATTTTTAGGTACTTTCGCGATCGTGTCTCTCATGACTGGATCCGTAATCACTGACATGAATGCGTCCAATGCTAACCCGATTATCAACCAAACTCTGATCAACGGATCAACAACACCCGGATCAGTTCAAAGGCAATACTCAAACATACAAATGGCATCAATGATTGCGCTACTGATAGGCATATATCAGCTATTGTTTGGTATATTTCGTATGGGCTTTGTCTCG